GTGCCCACGAGGAGTCCCAGGGGCCCTAAGAGGAGCCCCAGAGGGCCAACTAGGAGCCCTACGAAGTGCCCACGAGGAGTCCCAGGGGCCCTAAGAGGAGCCCCAGAGGGCCAACTAGGAGCCCTAGAAGTGCCCACGAGGAGTCCCAGAGGCCCTAAGAGGAGCCCCAGAGGGCCAACTAGGAGCCCTAGAAGTGCCCACGAGGAGTCCCAGGGGCCCTAAGAGGAGCCCTAGAAGTCCACCACGAGGAGCCCGCTGACCGCGGCCAAGTGGCGCGTGGTGAGCGTGTCGCTCGAGTCGGTGGCGGGCGGCAACTGCGTGGGCACCGGCAGCGCCACGCCCTCGTCGTCCGAAGCGTCGGAGCCGTCGCCGTAATCGGCGGGCGGCGCCGCGGCCGCCGTCACGTTGTCAATGCCGTCCACCTCCGTGGGCGCCGCCTCCTCGAGTCTCTGTGCGTTGGCCCGCAAGATGGCCTCCCGCACAAAGAGCCGGATATACTCGGCGGAGAGCGCCACAGCGGACGAGGTGATGCGTGTGGATGCGTTTGAAAACGACACCTCGCTGAACACGCGAGCGATTGTGGTGGGCGCAACCATTCTTTTATGATTGCGGTTGGGAAGCCTGACGCTCGAAGATCGCGGTTGGGAAGCCTGACGCTTGATGGTCGTGGTTGGGAAGTCCGACGCTTGATGATCACCGTCGAAACGCTTTCAACAGCCTGGGCAAATTCAAGTTCCGGTGAGACTACAGACTCTCGTGGGCCTTGCTGATCTCGGGCGTCGGTGAGCTTGATGTTGGGGCCAAGTGGCGGAATCAGGGCCAGAGTCGTTGGTGATGCGCGGGCCCTGGCCCCGCGCGGCCCTGTTATGAATGCAGGGCAGGACGCATCCCCCGGACCGTGGACCTACTGCCTTGCCAGAGCAAGCCGGGAACGGAAAGGCTGCACAAAACAGCAAACACAAAACAGCAAACCCACTTGATTATAAGGAAACTCCCGATCATGGGGACTAGATGGGAATCTTCGAGGCATAATGCCATCCCATCTCTCCTGCCAGATCAGGTCGTCCCGAGAGCTCGGCATGACTTCCTGGCTGTCCAATGGTACCAACCGTGGTTCCTGAACATGGATAAAGACATTATGTAGACCGCTGCAGAACACAAACTAATCCTCCCGGACTGACGTGGCCATCTGCGAACGAGTGGTTCTCGGGGTCTTCCCTTGGCAATATGCACTAATAAGGCCACGGAGACAAGTCCAGCAGACTTCAGGACTCCAATGGAACACCGAAACTCGTCTGCCTTGCGCGCAAGGCTAACTGTCGGTGTCATATTTACGTGAGTCAGTCGAACATACTCAGAAAGCGCCCTTCCAATCCCATCGCACCAGCAATCTGGCCAAATTGGCCAACGCCCAACTTGCATCGACTCCCAATTCGGAGAACAGAATCTTTTGTTTTCGGAGGTGGCCAAAATAGCCCCCTCAAAATACGACTGCTCCTAGCCACTGTTCTAGAAATGGCACGAAGGACCAATCTGCACAATCAACGTACATTTGGGTCTGCCGCGCGGCCTGGCTTGCGTTCGGTGGGCTCGTCCATCTTCCAAGGCCATATCATTTTTTCGTGAGTCTCTGCTTTTTTGTGAGTTTTGCTTCTATCGTGAGTTTCACTTTCATCTGAGTTTCGCCTTCATCTGAGTTTCGCTTTTTTCGTGAGTTTCGGCTGTATTTCGTAATCTTTCGAAAAACTACATTCAATCTCGGCAGCCTACAACACTCGATCCAACGGCTCGTTTCACTTGCCATACACTGCCCCGCCAAAACTCCCGATCTGGCCATCTGTCGAAAGGCTTTGATCCCCAAACATCTTCCTGCCCATGCCCACTCTTCAAGGCGCCTCCAGGGCGTCGTCGTTTATCTCGTTGTTCAAAACAATCGTGGGAGCGGGCCTCTTGTCCATGCCCTTGGCGTTTTCCACCGACGGCATGGCTGGAGGCGTTTTGATCGTGCTTCTCGCCGCCATCACTTCTGGGTACGGCCTCTTCCTCCAGGCTTATGTGTCGAAGTACGTGGCCACAGGACACGCCACGTTTTTCAATGTCTGCTCCGCCACATACCCGGCACTCTCGGTGGTGTTTGATCTTGCAATTGCCATCCAATGCTTCGGCTGTGCCGTCTCGTTTTTGGTCTTGATAGGCGACCTCATGCCTACGGTAGTGCCCATGATTCCTGGCGTGCCCGCGGATCGAGTCCGTACTTTCTGGATTGTGGCATCAGCGGCCCCATGCGTTCCGCTCTCGTTTCTCAAGAACCTAGACTCGCTCAAGTCCACGTCGGTCATGGGGCTCGGCGCCATTGCGTATCTTTGTGCCTTGGTCGTTTGTGAAAAAGCCCTTGGACATGTCCCTGCAGAGCTCACGGGTCCTATCCGATTGACCCCTGCGTCTTTGGAAGGCGTGTTCTCGACATTCCCCATCATGGTGTTTGCCTTTTCCGGCCATCAGAACATGTTCTCCATCATCAACGAAGCCCAGGATAAGTCGCTTGCCTCATTGACGGCATTGATCAAGGCCACTATACTATGTGCATCGTTCCTCTTTATCATCGTAGGCGTCAGCGGATACTTGACCTTCGGAAACCTAGTTGGTGGCAATGTCGTGCTACTATATCCGAGCTCATTCTGGACCCAGTTTGGCCGTTTCGCAATAGTCTTCATGGTGGTCTTTCTGTTCCCGTTGATGATTCATCCGGCAAGAATCTCTGTCAACAACATACACCACTGGGTTTCCGAGCGTGTATCCGGAAGCATCGGCCGTTCGAGCCAATCTGCCAACGACGAGACATATACATTGTTGGGTGACGGCGAATCTTCTCCATCTTTCAAGCCACAGAGAATCGTCGTGCCGTTTCCCCAAAACACATTCTTTATCATTACAATCGTGCTTTTGGCAGTGGCTTACACGTTGGCAGTCACCCTTGAATCGTTTGCGCTTGTGATTGCTGTGATTGGTGCTACTGGATCCACGTCAATCTCTTTCATTTTGCCTGGTTTATTTGGCTACAAGTTAATTGGCTCTGAAGCTGAAACGCCCAGCAAGAGGGAAAGGACATTGCGGTTGTTCGCCTTGTTCCTCACGATCTGGGGTTTCGCAGTCATGGCTGTGTGCCTTTACGCGAGTCTTGCCCTATAATAACGGCTATGATCATCCACGCGAGTTCAAGCGCAAACAGCATTCACGTAAGGTTTCAATTGAGAAAATCTATTTAGTGTCAGCGGGGCTGTCTTCCTGTTCGTTATCGGTGTCTTCAGTCCCGCTTCTCACGTCTTCGGCATTTTGGCCGCGGATGACACGAAGTATGACCTTCCCAATCATATATAACCATACGAGCGAAATGATCTGCAAACCTCCCAACAAACTCAAAAACCCGTTAATCACGTATGAGTTCCAGCATCGTTTCTGAAGCATGCCTGTAATGCACTCGCTTGCCAGCATTAGTTCGGTGGATCTGTGCCAGGAAATGTAGAAAAGGTAATTATAGACGCCGTGCCTCAAGGCGACCCATGCCACCACGAAAAGACCAAACATGGCGTCGCATGCACGTGTGTAGCTGGAGTATTTCAAGATTTTTGCCGTGGACAAGAGAATGTCCACTGAGTCCATGATCATGAGAATCAAATTGCCGATGCGGTTGAAGTAATAGTAATACGAGCCAATGACCAACGAGCAGGTGACAATATGGTGGAAGAACATCTGCACAAAATCCTTCCTTCTCTCTTCAATGTTCAATGCAACTAATTGATGTAGCCAGAAGCCGATCGATATGAGATAGTATTTCTTGAAGAGAGCGGTCATTTTGTAGTGGGGCCAGCCAATGAAGATGTTGTCAATGTTGTTCCAATACGGTGAATGGTAGTAAAGATAGAGACCGAAGGCAAAGGAAAAACAATAGTAGACGACCGACCAGCTCTGTTCAGCAAACCGCACCCGAGCCTTGTGGGACAGCACCAGAAAAAAGTGTTTGGCAATGGGGTCGAATAGATATTGCATCAAAACTGCCCGCATGAATGTGAGTAAGACTACCCAATAGACAACGTGGTAGCAGTCGTTGATGCCGATATCATAGTAGCTAGTTCCCTCTAGACGATCGCTAAGATATTGTAAATGCAAAAACTTGGACGCACATTTGTGGAATGACAGAGAGAGCCGAGAACCAAGCAAATCCCCGAGATATAGAACGGCCAACAAGTTTCGTGTAATGGCGATCTGATGCCTGTTGATGAACTGAACGACGAAACCTTGTGAGGAAGGCATATCGGGCGAGACCAGCAGATACTTTTGCCTGATTTCTATGTATGAAATTAAGTTCCAAGTGGCTCAGTGGGCGACGGCACTGGCTTGTGTGGATGCAAGAGAATGGGATATTTTTGTCGCCTCAGTAGTCAATTCCGTTGTCAAAGAGATAGCGCAGAGAAATTCTGTCTGATTTTTTCGTGATTGAGTACTCTCGAACGCGAAACTTTTTTTTGTTGATTCAGCGAGGCTGCCGCGTTGAGTAATCCCAGATCTGAGCAGATCCTGGGGCTGAAAATCAACGAGCGGCTCGGGGAATGTCAAGGGCGGCACATCCAGAAGACGGAGAAAAATATTCAGGCCCACCAACACCGACTTGCTGAAAACCTAGCTTTTTTCTCAAATATTGTGGATTTCGATTAGGGCGTATGCGGCTGAGCTAAACCCAGTGATTCTAATTTGGCCGCGCTCTGGGGCCAGGGCCAAAGGGAGCTATTATTGGGGAGGATGGCGCGCGGTGTGAACGCAGGTCCTCATCAAGCTGCGAACAGAGTACGTCGCACTAAACGTGGCAGGACGGAATGGGCTCAGTACCACAGCGCAGTGCGAGAACGCCCAGCCAATGCGAAGACTTCGGAATGTCAAAGGAATGCACGTGACGAACTTGGCCGAGTGTTTGTACCCACCATTTTGTTGTTCTCCCAGCTCAAAATATAATTGAACAACTACTGTTTTTTTTAATTGTCTCGCAATTGGTGTTGACATGATCAGGCTCATCGCTCGGGCCAGGACCTGGCAAGTGCGCCAGCCTGAACACGACTTTGCATGCAAGGCGAGGCAACACAAATTAATTGAATAAGCAGTCTTGCGGTTAACTCGTAAGACACTTGATTTTCTTCTTTTTCAAAAAAAAAAACTCATCATTGAAAATTTTTCAGTAGTTCTCCCAAAAGCCTTTCAGAGCGTCTGGTTATGTCTTTAAGATTAGTGACTTCAGATCAAGTACGCGTCCATGGCCTGGTCGTGGCCACTATGAGCTTGAGCACTTGTAGAAAACCAAAAGTATTGGATTCCCGCCAGCTGAGTCTTATCGACTCAACAACATGTACTGCAACGCCTTTCGCACCAGACTCTCGTTGTAGTTGTTCCATGCAAAGTACAAGCCAATCATCTCTTGCATTGCCTCCACGACCTCGTCGAGGTTGACATGTGAGTGATTGAAAAAATTCATGAACCTTTCGATTTTGAGTGTGTCCTCGTCCAGTCTCTGACTCTCGAGGTTGTCTCCCGGCTGTAGCCCCATATCCGATTCTCTGTTCGTGGCGGTCAAACTCATGAGATCTTCGATATGCATGGAGCCCTGCTTCCCCTCCGCGTCTATACCCAGCGATCCTTGTGCCCGTATTGAGTTGAGACGTTTCTCCAAAATGATGGTGATGTAGATGGCGGCCATGGCTATAATGTGGGGAGGGAATATCAAATGTAGGTCTGTGATGTAGCTGTCGTTTATGAGTGACCAGGAGTGCTGTAGCTCGACATTGGAAAGCGTAAAGCCGTACACGCTGGCGTTCTCGCGGAGAAAGTCCCGCACTTGCAAAAGCGACCGATATGGATGGTGGAGCACCAAGTACATGTCCATTTCTTCGATGAGGTAGAACTCGAACTCGGCCAATTTGCTCACGTCTTGCGGGATATACTCGGGCCAAAGGTTGCGAGCTTCGGACACAATGAGCCGGATGTGTTGAGGGCATTCTTCCATCTTACACGCAACGTAGAGACACGTCGTCACCAAAAGATACACGTTCACTTCCTTAATGGACACTCGGGTGAGAAATCGGGAAAGGTATATTTCCGAGCTGGAAAGTGCAACCTGCCGCACGTTCAAGCGCCGGCCGAGCTTCACAATCAAGTTGTGCAAGTAGATCTTCATATTCACATCGCAATTTATGTGCGGGTAGTCTTTGATGAGCCCACTTTGGATCATTTTCTTTTCAAGAAGAGCGAGCCGCCGGCGGTTCTCAACTAGCTGTTCTCGCGTGACCTGCCAGTTTGTTCGTTGGGTCGACGACCAGTAATCTGCCGACATTCGCTACAGGCGTTTGCACGTGCCGGTTCCGGGAGGCAGAAAGCGTGGCAAAAAGGCGGGGATTTGCTAGGGCGTTTTATTAAATTCCGCAACTGTGAATAGAACTAACCGTGTGCTTGGTACAAGTGTTCACAAATGCATAAATGGACACGATGTGGGATGGTTTCGTGACCGACACGCTGGTTTGGGCCAAGCTTTCTGATCTCGACTGGACAGTGCGGTTTGGAGACCGGGCCTGCCGGAACGGCCCTGACGGTTGCGAATAATCTGAGTCTGAGATCTGCTGACGTGTGACCGGCACAAGGTATTGGCGCCGCTTGATATGTTTGTATTGAGGTAAATTGGAGGGTGACCGAATAGCAGGTTTCTTCAAAATGCTCCGTAAAAAGATATTTTAGGTCTTCATGCTAATCGTGATGTTGGGGGTGGGTACGTGCAGAGCATGTTGCGGTGTGACCAGCGATCCATGGCATTTCGGACATGCGTCTATGGGTACAGTGTAAATACCGGGAATTCGATAATGTTTTTGATAATGTAAATTCTGAGGATTTGATAATGTGAATTGGGCTTTGATGGCATCAAAAAACAGTTTCTGTTATTTCAACGGACGTGTGCCTGATCCGCCGCAACGCCGCCATTTACATGGCACACTATATTAGTTCACTGCAGACTCGCCACAGCACTTGCTTCACACGTTGAGTACCGTGATCCTCGGCAGTAGCTCTGGGTCTAATTTCATCGAACATCATGAGAGTTTCTCGTTCGCCCAGTGCCCCATACATGTGGCCATTTCTGCTCAAAATCAAGATAATCATGAGTGCCAAAGCAGGCCAGGGACCTCCGCGCACCGGGTGATATAACTCCATCATGATCCCATCCGGAATCTTCATCCTCGGCTTCATAAGGCCAGCAAATAAAAAAGTCGAAAATAGAATAATCCAAAAACAGCACAAAACAGCCCGCTCTTCGCGGAGTCGGCCATCAATACCATCTAGAACGGTTTGCGCTTCTCCCCGGCATCTTGCCGTGGGTCTACCCAATGCGGAGTGCTGCCTCGTATATTCTCGGTGCAATACCCATTTATTAGGTGTGCTCACCTCACCCCAGGATTCTATACTGCCCCCTCCTCCTTGAGAATGTCGCCCAACAAAAACTACCACACCTCGAAACCAGAGGTGGATTCTGCAATTGACCGCGACGCCCCGGAGCATCCGGTAGCCCAGCTTTTGGATGAAGACGACTACTTCCATTCGCACTCGGCCCCCTCCTATTTGGCCGAGGTCGAGGACCTGGTCTCTCAGTTTGTAGACCACCACATGGCCACCGGCAAGCGAGTCGTGTTGGTGACTAGTGGAGGAACCACGGTGCCTTTGGAAAATAACACTGTGCGGTTCATTGACAACTTTTCTGCCGGCACGAGGGGTGCCACCTCTGCCGAGTACTTCTTAGAAAACGGTTATGCGGTGATCTTCTTGCACCGAGAGTTCTCTCTTTTGCCCTACTCGAGGCATTACAGCCACACGACAAACTGCTTCTTGGACTACATGGTTGAGAAAGACAACAAGGTGGAAATCAATCCGGAGTTGGCCGACGAGATGCTCGTCGTGTTGCGCAAGTACAACGAGGCCAAGAGCTCGCGGTCGCTTCTCCCCATTCCTTTCACCACCGTGAACCAGTACCTCTACACTTTGCGCTCGGTTTCTGAGATCTTGAAGAGAATCGACTGCAAGGCCTTGTTCTATCTAGCTGCGGCGGTTTCGGACTTCTTCTTACCTTCCTCGAGGTTGCCAAAGCACAAGATCCAGGCGCAGCCCAGTGGAAAGTTGGTCGTGGACTTGGAGGCCGTGCCAAAGTTCCTCAGGCGCTTGGTGGACAGCTGGGCCCCGCAGGCAATGATCGTGTCGTTCAAGCTTGAAACTGACAACTCCATTTTGATTCAAAAGGCGAGTGAAGCCTTGCGTAGATACCACCACCAATTGGTCATTGGTAACTTGTTGCAGACCCGCAAGAAAGAGGTCGTCTTCGTGACGCCCGATGGCAAAGAGAACTGGGTGCGTTTGACCCAGCATGAGATCGACGAGCATGCCGAAATTGAGAGTCTCGTCATCCCTTCTGTTATTCTGGAGCACGAAAAATGGATAGTCAAGTGGAATGCGGCGAAGGGTGACTCCAGGTGAAGCTGTGCGAATGAAATCGTCTAAGTACCGAACAAAATGAATGAGCATATGCTAGACACATGCTTGGATGGATTCACTCATCGAATATCTAATTATGGTTCTCTATTTACAAAAAAGAGATCCCGACGCCGTACTGAATGCCCTTTCTCAAGTAGTCGGTGGAATGCGCAGTTATGGGTAGCACGAAATTGAGCTCAAACCTAGCCAGTGGGTGATTGTAGAGAATGCCAGTGCCGATACTGATGGAGTGTTCCTTCGTGAGTTTCTTCACCACGTTGGGGAAAGTGTCGCCCCCTTTCACAAGCTTGCCGGAATTGACAAATGTGTGGAACTTGAAGTTCGAGTCTTTCGGCGTTCTTGGTATGTGAGATAGGAGGGACAACCCTCCACTGAGGAAGTAGTCTCCTCCAACAGAAGAGTTGTTCTCTTTGGGCCCTAAGCCCTGCAGCAAAAACGAGCGGACGTCGTTGGGTCCACCCATGTGAAACCTGTCTAGAACATTGCTGGTCCTGTTCGCTGTACCAAAGAGCGCACCTGCCTTGTTTGACGCGATCAACGTCTGGGTTTCGCTCAATTTGCATGCCATCTGGCCTTCCCATACAAGCTTTGTGAACGAAACGTTGTTGAGCCGAAAGAGCCCACATTTCTCGATCCCAACACGTGCGAAGCTCCCTATTGTCGGCGTGATGGGGTGATCGCGTGTGTCGTACTTGATATTGAACAACACTGACGATTTGAACGTGTCTTTCAGCTGGCGGATCACCTCCATGGATCGCGAGCCGTGGTTGCTGAGTCTTCTCCAGGCATTCTCAAACGAGAGATCAAAGTTGAGCTTGGAGTCGAGTCTGCTGGAGATCTTGTGCGTGGTGCCCTTAGTATCCACACTGCTCTGGATCCAGTCGAGGTTTCTCGTGTTGACATAGACCAGCGAGTCCCAAAGAAAGCGCGAGTAGTTGTTGATGGGCTGCGAGTAGTTGAACACATAGGACGAGGGGGTTTTCGTGCCTGTCACTGCATCGAAGACAACGTTTTCAGCGCCACCAAAGAGATTCTTGAGCTGGAACTGTATGTAGCCGTCGCCCTCCCCATTGCCGATATTCGTGCCTGTTTTGGCGTAGAATTTCTTCTGTGGCACAATGTTGAAGACAGGAACCAAGTCTAAGGTGCGGGGCGGCGCCCGTGACCAGGGCTGTTTCGGGAGCTGGTGCAACGATACTTGGCACTGCTCTAGAATATCGTGTTTTGCGAGATTGCGATAAACCTCATCGGTGCTCTTGAGGAACTGTGCGAGCGTGACCAAATCCCGCTCTAGTAACGGACGCAATTGTGCGGCAAGAAACGAGTTGCGAAGATGCTGGCTGTTGGTGACTTGCACGTTTTTCGTCCGCACGGGAATGGTGGAGTTTTCAGCAAAGAGACTTTCCAAGAACGCTCGGCTCTGTTCGACCATGAGCTGCTGTTTTTCATCAACGACGGTGTGGAGTTTTTTTTCTTCCGGGGTCAAAGCGGGCTCCGCCGACTGGGCCGGAGAGAGTCTTTCCATGAGCAGGTCATCGTGATCGAGCGACATTGCAGAGGAAGAATACTACGTTTGGCGAGGTTCCGCTTGACGCGATTTGCTTCCCCGGCGCCCATCCTGCAGAAAGCACGCTACAGTTCAGAATGAGAGTGATACACGAGTGAACATCAAACGAATGAGGCGGAGAACAAATAACGAGGCTGTTTTTTATGAGTGGTCTTCGGATCGTCCCAGGGTCTATATCGCCAACATCACGGCGTACGCCCCACCAGTACAGCCGGCGCGGCCAGTACGATATCGCGAAGAGACCGGAGGCGGGGCATGCGTAAAGCCGCCGCTCACTGTGGCGGCAGTACCGACACGACAGGCACTTCGGGCGCGTTGGGGTTCATGAACTCGCCGTCCGGTAGCTGGATGCCCGAGGAGACGGAGTCCGTGTTCTGTTCTCGCGTGTCCTCCTCGACCAAGAGCTTGATGCACTCGCGGCCAGACTCGGTCTGGAAGTGGCGGCGTAGCGCGTCAGCACGCGCGAACTTGCGCCCACAGCCGAACGGCGTGCCGTCGCGGAGAATGCCCCGGCACTGGTACTTCTTCTCGCCCGAGTGCAACTCCTCGTGGCGCTTGCGGTCGTGCTGCCGCGCAAAGGCCTTGCCGCAGATGTTGCAGATGAACGGGCGGTCGTCGGTGTGGGTCCTCAAGTGCGACTTCAAGTTGTAGGGCCGCGTGAACTTCTTCTCGCACAAGTGGCACGCGTACGAGGAGGGGTGGATCTGCGTGCGCTTGGACACGGACGCCGAGGACGCAAGCTCGAGCATCTTCTCGCGCGACGACCTGGCCGTCTCCGCGTCGTCCGCGCGAGGCGTGCTGCCGGCGTCCGGCGCGTTCTCGGAGGCCTGGGGCCCGGCGGCGCTCGCCACGGAGCCGGACCGCGAGCGCGAGCGCGAGCGCAGCTGCGCCCGCACCTTTAGTAGGTGCACCGCCTGGCGGCCGCGGCGCATGTTGCTGTAGTCTTCGGGGCGGAGAAACGACTCGGGCTCCAAGTCCGAGTACGCGGACTCGCCGGGGCTCGGGAGGTTGGCCGAGTACGGGCTCAGGCAGCTGTTCCACGAGGGCGACGGGCTCGGCGGGTTCCCCGAGAGCGACGGGCTCGGTGCCCGCGCCGGCTGGCCCGGCGGCTGGAGCTGGTTGCCGGAGTAGTCGAGCCGCGGCTCCAGCGGCGAGTTGTGCGAGGAGTTGCTGAAGAGCGACGGCGTGCGCGCGGCCACGAGCTCGGGCGCCTGCTGGATGGAGATGGTGACCTGCGCGTCGGGCGCGGCCGCGTGGCCGTTGTAGCTGGAGAGGTTGTCCTCGGTGAGCTTGTTTGCGGGCACCTCGTGCTGGCCGTAGAGGCCCTGGAACACGTCGGCCGCCGGCCAGTGCTGCTGGCCGAACATGGCGTCCGCGCCAAGGGGCGCGCCCGTGGCCGGCGCCTGCAAAGCCGCGGCATACGCCTGCTGGGCGCTGCCGTGCCCCGTGCGCGGATACACGCTGTCGGCGTACAAGCCGTGGCCCGCGGCGCCCATGTCGGCCAAGTTGGTGCACGAGATGGAGCCGCCCAAGCCGATCTCCTGGCTGAACGTGTCGTGGTGCGGGGCCTGGTCAAAGAAGCCCGCCGGCGGCTCGGCCGCGCCGCTGAAGTGCGACGCGGCGTCGTGGAACAACGAGTGCGCGTTGGACGCGGCGTCCGAGTACACGGACTGCGTGGTGAGGCGCTCCGTGGCCTGGAGCCCGTAGCCGGGGTCTATGCTGGACGGCGAGAGGAAGCCGGGGCTCTCGGGCTTGGCGTGCTGGTTCGGGTTGGCGAACATCACGGGGTCGTAGTGCTGGGCCGGGGTCTGCGAGAACGCCGGGTTCTGTGTGGACAGGGCCGGGTTCTGTGTGGAAAAGACCGTGTTTTGCCGGGCCGTGTGCGAGTACGCCGAGCTCTGGCCAAGGAACAGCGAGTAGTCCTGCTCGGGGACGCGGCGGGCCGGGCCCAGCGCGTCGTTTGCAGGGCCGTCGGCGGCGGCGCCGGCGGGAAAATCTCCAAAGTCCAAGAGCGGCGGCGACGTGGGAAGCATGCCGTAGTAGTGGTCGTCCTCGCCTTCGGCGGGTAGATGTGCCATGTTGGCCGGTGCGCTTGGAAAGGGGGTCGCTCCGCGCAGGGGCCGGTGCAGAGAAGCTGGGGCCGGTGCAGAGAAAGTGGGGCCGGGGGTGGGGGCCACTGGTGCGCAGCAACGGGAAACCGGGGTTTCTGTGGTGGTCTTGCCGGGGCAGGTTTAGGGACTCGCTTGGGAGGACGGGGGAGCCTGGGCCGCGCAAAACAACACAGAAGACAAGTCGCGGGAGCGCCAATAGATGCCAGTCCAGGAGACAAGAGGGGGCTGGCTGTGGGAGCAGAAATTCAGGGGGGGGAGGCCGGGGAGTATTGCAAATCCGCTGGCCGGGCAAGAAAAAGAGTGGTTGGCGGGGCCAGCTCCGGAACGATGTCCAGGCGGCGGCCTGTGTGCAGGCCCGGCGTGGGCCCCAGAGCAGCCCGTAGCGAGGAAGGCGCACCTGGCTCCTCTATTGTCTCGTGGATGTAGCCAAGAAAGACAGCGCTTACAGCGCTTGCGGGTGTGCCCGCTTGTCGCATGGGCTTGTTTCAGCGGATTGTCAGCAGGTCCGAAAAACAGGCCCATTGTTCCGGCCCAGGCCCTGGACCCAATTGCTCGTGCGATCCATGGGGCCTGCGTGCGACTCCCCAGCCGCATATACGGCCTCAGCAGAGTTCGGCGGCCCCGGCCAAAAAGCAGGCCCACCGCGAAAAGACCGGACACTTCTCGGCTTGAGAGTTTCTTAACCCAAGCACCTTCGGGCAGACAGAAACTGCGCTCGCGCCGTCTTGGTGGATGCGGGCCTGCGGACGTCTGTTCTCAAATGAGCCTTCGCTCGGCCAGCGAGTGGAGCTTGTGTGAGCTTTTGTTTTTGTTTTTGTTTTTGATTTTGTTTTTGTTTTTGATTTTGATTTTGTTTTTGTTTTTTGCTTTTT